AAAAAAAAAAAAAAAAAACAGGAGAACGTTTACGCGAAACAACAAATCGTTAGATTGACTAGACGAAAAGATTGTCGCGAACTTTTTCGATCCTCGAACTTCCAAGCCTTTTCCTGCCAGACGTAATTTCTTTCTTACTCGGACACGCGTAGAAATAGAAGGGAAAGAGAACAATTTTTTTACACATCGAATTTCGCCTAACAGAAGTTTCGAGTTTCATGAGATATCCGTACGAACGATTGAACTCGATGTTCGTCGATATACACGATAAAAATAAACCAAGATTTCCTCTGAATATAGTTTAGTTTTTTCACTAGGTGTTCCCCGTTTTGGGAACAGGAACAATTTTCGAATGCACGACGGCTGGTTGATGTTTCTGTTCGATTTACGAAATTGCATTTCCTCTAAGCCGCGCGCGTGTCTCGCGATATTTTCTGCTTCGAGAGTCGAGGTCGAATATAGTAGTTTATACATACAATAGCTCTACGGATGATGGCGTGTGACGTTCTGGAAATCACAGGATAAATCAGCTTCTAAATTCGGATGGGCAGTGTAAGCTTCTGCGAGGTGCTTCTCTGACATGTTTTTAAAGCGGCAGCGAGCCTTGCTGATCAACATTTCCGTCTCCGTTTCGATGCGCTTACACCAAACTGTTCAAACATCTTTCCTCCTGTTGCGCTCCCTTCTTTTCCCTTTTCATTCATTAACGAAACAAAAATTAAACAACGTGAAATTCGTCGAATCAGTGGCGCTTTCAAAAACCTTCCCCTCCCCCAGCGTACTTCTAACAATGGCGATAAGTAAATACACATTATCACAATCATCGCAATGACGCAATTAGAATTAATCATCAATAGTAACAGCGCAGTATGTAATAATAATAGTTCGTAGAACGCCACTGTTTCGAGTGTTATCATTTTAGAAACGTTGCGTCGTAACAACGAGCGTTACTTCGGCTGTTTCGATTCGTTCTAATTAAATAGTAACTCGAGTTGCAGGGCCATTGCGCGCGTACATGGAGCGATCGAGCGCTTATCACAATAGATCGTGTTCGCCAAAATGGCGGGCGCGTCGAGTACAGCTTTCGACACTTGACGCAAGTTAAGAGACTAAACGAGATTCGCTAAATCTTGATCACAAGTCAAAGCTGAGACGGATTAAATGTAATACCAAAAAATATACACCTATACTTCTGTCCATAAATCACCAGTTACTCAATTTTATTAAGACGATTTATATCGTACGATCTGTTTGTTCGCTATTACAAAGGCCATTCTATAATTCCATCTTTTTCTTTTTTAGAACTTTGAACAATTTGTTGTATAAAGTTATGTCTTATTGATCTTTTGCCTATTAATCTGTGCAATAACGCGACATTCTGTTTCTCGAAATTTCTACAAACGTATTATTACACATATCATTATAATTTCGCGTCAAGATATTGCTATAAATTGTACAAACGTTATGAAATTAAACAACAAATTCATGCGAGAGGATCGTATCAATGTTGTTGGTAGCAATTGATCCTGTTCAAAAAAATGACCAAGCGATCTGGTGATTTATGAACGGGAGCATGTGATCAAAGATCCATGTTTGAAGAAAACAATGGGAAAAGATTTCCTATGTTTCGAAAAAGATACGAAATTTCATCTAGAATATACGAAACAGAATTTTGCTTTAATAATTCGCCAGTGTAACGAAGATTCGAAAGATAAATGATAGATCTCCGATTAAAGCGTATTACCGTGTATCATTTCACATGCATTCCATCAAAGCGTATTTCCGTGTATCGTTTCGCATGCGTTCCATCCAACCGTGTTCGTCTCTATCGCGAATCAGACAGATCGGTGTAAGCAGAGGTAAAGATTCCTAGCCTTTACAACACAATCGAGGGAAAGGTAAGGGAGAATCGAGGAAAGAAGGTAGACAGGATCGTAACTCTCGTAGAAAAGAAAGAAGAAAACTGTGGATATTGCCAGTACTTTGTAATCGTATCGATAGCCTCGAACTGTCTGCAACGATAGCTTAATCAACGACGAATTTCATTATTTTTACCAATTATGTCATAGAGATATATAACCACAATTATTCTCTATATTTTCTGCAAAAAAAAAAAAAAAAAAGAAAAGAGGAACGTCTAGGCCATATTGTTGTTAGAAATTTCGAGAAAACTAAATAAATTCGTACGAACGAAGAACATTCGATTCCTTGTGGAACCTTGATCATTTTCTTCTTTTGGTTTCGCAGAAAGCTACAAATAACTTCATTGAAGCAACAAAAAGAGAAATAATCTGAAATAATCGTCGTCGATTGGCTATCGTTTGGTCAACCATTTCTAAAAAAAAAAAAAAAAAAATGTTAGCCACGATCTTTCATCGATATCCTGATCTTTCACTTTTATCGAGTCCCTCGTCAGTCGTTCGTTTAGTAATCCTTTTACCATACGTTTTCTTTTTTTTTTTTGTTAGTTTTTTTTTTTTTTTTTTGGTTTGCCTTTTTAATTTTTTTTTTTTTTTTTTTTTTTTTTTTTTTTTTTTTTTTTTGGTTTGCCTTAGTAATTTTTTTTCTTTATTATTAGAGTATCGTTTATCATATTAATCATTATCATTATACTGCTTCACTACGGTTGGTTGACTCTTGGACGTGGATCTGGATGGAGTGTGGTGTACCAAATGCGCGTGAAAGAGAGAAAAAGCTCCATCGCTTGATTCCTTTCGTATTTGTTTCTTTTTTTCTTTTCTTTCTTTTCCGCATTTCTCTTTCCTCTCCTTCCATCGTCCTCGAAGTGAGAACAAGGGGCTCCTATCTCTGCCCATCAATCACGAGACGTATCCTGCCAGTTTCTTATTCAGTCGAGTTTCGCCTTTCTCGAATTCGTATCGTCATCTCTCGCATTCGCTGTTCATCTTCTGCTTTTCAAGACAGGACGACCCCCCGTTGTCGAGCCCCCGAGCGTGTCAAATTTCTCCTCTCGGTTTCTTCTTCTTCGCCTTCGACTAGCTCGAAAGAGGAACGTACGAATGAATTTAATTTTATTATAAGAAATCAGACGGAATGCAGTCTGCAACGGGGAAACAGCGTTCACCTCGCCTCTTTCTTCCTCCCGTTTTCGTTTTCCCCCCGGATTATCGACTCCCCCTTCTGTTCAACGATCTCGCAGCTCTCCGTAATTTCGATGCACGTTTCGACTAGCACCAGGTTTCAAAATCGTTAAAATCGAAGCAACGCGCGGAAAATTCGAAGGATTTGGCGCAGAAATTGCCCTTCGTTTCACCTCGATTCTCGTTGGTTCCCCGACGATACGTTTGATTCGCACGTGCGCGCGAATTTTCCCTTTCGGTTGTCCTCGGTGATATCTAAATCGTGAACCTCGAGAATTCGCGTCACGTTCGTGTGAAGGAAGAAAAAAAAATAAGAAAATGAAACACTACGCCTCACTACAGTAATTCGTTTCGCTTGCTTGGTGATGAGTTTCTGTTTGCCAGGCATGTTCGGGAAGTTCTTCGTCGGATGTGATATGCTCGACCGTTCTTAAAGAAATTACTTTCGGGAAAAATTCGCGGGAAATTATTCAGACAATATCTAATGGGAATTGTCTAATGGCAATTTCATTATTTTCGAGGTACAACCGGAGAAAGCTCAACGGACAATAGTTGATGGACAAATTTCTTAAAAACTGGGTACGAACTTGCGAGGTCGAGGAATGTTAGCGTTTTGTTGTGCAGTAATGTAACGTTGTCTCTGTGAATTTATTTCAGAACGATCGAGGATTCTATATACGCGGGAATGGAGCGGAATAGGAGAATTCCTCTCCATTCGGCAAACGCTCAGAGAAAGAGTTATTCTTGTATTTAAAAGAAATACTAATCCACGGTGGCATCGATAATTCAACGGATCTATCGGACGATTAATAATTCTCTGTCTAAAAATCTTTCATTCTCTCTAAATATAATTAGTCGGTGATTGACGAGACGAAAGTTGGGATCAACGTTGGAAAGATCCGAGGAATTTTGTCTGTACCGTGTGACCGTGTGATCCGCGAGTGCGATACCCATTAATTGTATACATTCATATTCGCGTGTATACGTACATAATTGTTTTCTGTATATATATATATATATATATATATGTGTGTATATATATACTTATATAAAACGCACAAAGCGGCTGAAGGCTATTGTATCCTTCCCATCTTATTTATAGCGACAAGCCGTATTTTATTTCCTCGCGATTCGATTCGTCACCATGTCGTCATATTTTCTCCTTTCTTGTTTCTTATCATCAATGGAAAAAGAATTCGGGCTTAACTACGGCGGATCCCTCGGAGATCACTCTTGAAATACCCTAGAAAACTTGCTGGCTCGCGTGTGTTCGTCTCTAAGTGCGTGTCTTTCTATGTGTGTCGCATCGCGTACTGTGGTACATCTCTTGTATATACGTGGGTAAACCGAATATCCGCGTGACCTGCGTGTAAATTGGAAATTTATGATCTCTCGATTCTTCTCGATCGAACGTGTTTTCTCGTCTCTCGAATTGTTTGTTTGCCCGTGTGTATGCGCGTATGTGTACCGTGTACATGTGTGTACGTGTGTATTCACCGGACGCGTGTCTCCGAACTATTCCTCGAGCTTCAACGAGACTGACGCGTTGCCCGCACGCACCGTCTTCGTTCTCGATCGTCTTACGGAGCAGGTGCTTGCCGATTCTTCTTCGAGGATCATTTGTCATCGACTGTTCAATCCAAATACTCTCTAACCTTCATTCTCTCCTCGAGAAGATCATCCCTCTTTCAAATCATCTCGGCTCTTCTTCTCACGAGTTATCCCGATACTTGTTCTTTCTTATTCAAAGTATCTAGATCTCTCGACGAACGCATTTCCAGACGAACGAAGAATGCCCAACACGTGATGAGTAAGACGGAAAGGAACCTACGAGATGTCTCGTTCCCGCTGGAAGAAAAAAAAAAAAGGAAAAAAAAAAAAAGAAAAAGAAACAACAGGAACGAGCAGACGAACCACGAAAGGAGCTTCCACAGGAACCTCGTCGAATCGTTTCATCCATTACTCTCTTTCTCTCTCTTTCTCTCCTTTTCCCTCCTCCACCTTCGTTTTCCCTCGTTTCTGCTTGCTCCCCCGCTCTCGAGGACGTTTCTGCTACTACGTTTTATTACTCGCTCCCCTTCGAGACCGTTTAATTCTCCGAGCCGCTGCCCTTTCCCCAGAATTTATCGAAGCGGTTCCGCGCTTTTTCCAGCACCTCGCTCGCTGCGGAACGTTGTGCGGAGCCTGGCACGTTGGTGCTTCCGAACACTGGTGTCCCATAACCACCGCCGCTTCCGCCTCCTGTCCCGCCCACGCTGCTTCCGCCGCCGCCGCCACCACCGCCACCACTGTCGGTGGTAGCACCCTGAGGCGATTCCGCTTCTAGGATACGGTAACCTTGTTGAGGGCCTGTCGATACCGTCGACGATGACGGTGTCGTTATGGTCGATGTCGTTGTTGGTTGACCATTCCCCTCCTTTTTCCTATCGTACTCGAAGCCCGGGTCCTCCAAACATCGTAAACTCGTCCCTGGCACTGGTTTTATCGATGGTTCTGATCTTTGTTGCTCTTTCGACTCCTCCTCGGTACCGCCTGATTCCTGCAATTTGTGGGCCAAAGGTTTCTATTTTCGGGAGAGCATTACGTTCAGTTCGAAAATGTATAACATGCTTGATCCAAATTGAGCATCACGTTTTCGTCAAATTTCGTTTTCTTTATTTTAATAGAAAGCCTGTCTTGTGATATTAATTATTTATGATGTGATATAACATGCTCCTCTCGGTTATTTCTTACGTTTAACTTAATTTTACATTTACGTTTTCGTATGTATCTAGTCGATATTAGCGACTGTGATATTGTTCGACAATCGCCTTTGAATTATTGACATAGACGTTGCTTCTCAGAGATCTTCACAGGAGGAAATTAAACTCTGTCAGATCACGCTATCTTGGCTGGCTAAATTTAACGTCTCTCCTTCGTGAAATTGAGCGTGCAGGATAGTAAGTTTCGAATTTGATTTCTGACGATAGATTTCAATAGACACTAGAACTATCAATGTGGTCAAAATGACCAATTTATCATTTTTGTTAGAAATTTTTATGAAACAATGTATTTTTAAATGAAATTTAAATGTAAATTTAAATGATTCCTCGAAGCTTGCAAAGCAATTTATTGCATCGTAAAGCATTTTTAATTTTTTTACTTTAACGTTTCTGATGCTTAAATTTGATGCTTTAGCCGCCGGTGGTCAATAACATACACCTTGTCTGTAACATTGTTCTATGATGATTTGTTTGTATCCTGCTATGAAATTTACCAAAAATGTTTCACCTCGCCGTCCACTGAAAAACGTGACTCACTCAATTTGGATAACATAGTCTATTTGGGATATTATCGAGAATATTGCTGGTTAAAAACAAAGCCTTACATTTTCACCTTGCGCGGTGGTACCGGAAGCCTGAACGTTGGAAGGCAACGGACTGTCCCTTTCGGAATCCATGTCCTTGTGTCCGTTCAAGCCGCTAAAACTACCGATAGAAACGCTCTCGCTTTCTGGGGACTTGTATCCGGAATGCTGGGAGTGTTGCGACTTGTGCTGTGCCGCCAATTCGGGTGGTGCGGATTGCGGGGCCGACGGAACCGACGAAGGTGCCCAGCTCTTTGCCTCGCTATGCGGACGCGTCAGGGGTTCTTGAAAATAAACGGGGATTAAATAAAAATTTGTTCTACGAGTCCGAATTAAATCGGATACGAAATATCTTCGTTATTTTTGGGAAAGAACTTTGTTAAGTTTGAAAAGTTGTACAGAGGGAGCCACTATTAATTTAAGATATTTGAAGTTCAATTTTGTAAAACTTGAAGTTCAATTTTCATCCTGTCGGATGAAAGACGAGGACACGAGAATATTATTATACAGCTCTTGACTTTTTTTTATGCAGTAGGTTTCATAAAATTAAAATTAAAAAGTCTCTTAGACTAGAATAGACTCTATAGACTAGAATAGACTCTATAGACTTAGAATAGATTTTCGATATACTTTTCACAGTGAATCTCGATCGAATCTTTTATCGATTAATGCATCAAAGAGAGAATTGAAATCCTCGAAATCTTGAGATCATCGTTGCTACCGTCCCAACCATTTTTATTATTATTATTATTATTATTATTATAATATTATTAACAAGGTTCTTCCATGTTTCTCCAAAAAAAACAACGATTACGATTATTCAAAATTCAGTCAGTAGTTAGACAATGTTCCTAACACTAGAACCACTGGACGAGTATTCCATCAGAGACACTGAAGTCAAAAAAATAGAAAAACTATGACACAATATTTTATTTCTATATTTTACGAAAATTCAAATTACACTGTTTTTTACGTCCATGAAATATTTAACAAAAATTACGAATTGGTCATTTTGATCGCTTCAGTGGTAGTTCTAGTATTAAGTCAGTCGATTTTTTTGTCAGAAGCAGAGATTCAATTTTTTTTTTTTTTTCTTCCGCGAGAAGAAATTTCTCTACCTTCTCTGACGTTTTGAGTGACAGTGAACGTTTTCCCGGTGTCCAGCGGCACGGTCCAATTGACCGGTTCCGGGGAGCGCATGATCATCTGCTCCGGCGATTTTACCCTGGTTGGTTCGGGCGGGCTTTTCACTACCGGCTCGTCGTCGATCCACGGGCTTGCCGCGGTGGCCGAGACCGGCGGCTGCGACTGCGTCTGCGATGGTGGTGTCGACGCGACGCTCGACTCTCCTCCGGTCACGTCCCCGTTTACCTGTGGCTCTGCCGTCACTGTAACGTTTCACCGACGCTTTTAACGACTTGGCATGTGTCCTCCGCCACATGTTTTCGTTGCCCGAGTTCGGGCGGAGTTGCACTCGATGCATCGAATATGTCACCGTGTTTTGCCAACGGTTCAAAATTCATTAAACGAAATTTCGTACGACGAATTCTTAACACTGAAAACGGAAACGGACTCTTGGTCCTTCCTTGGTCCTTCGTCGGAGATGAATCTCTATCGGTGCGTTGCACACACCGATGAAAAGGAAAGCGACGAAAAAAAAAAAGAAAGAAAGAAAGAAAGAAAGAAAGAAAAGAAAAACGTTGGTCGAGTCATCGAGCGCCGATATATCGGAGATCGGTTGTGATTCGTGTGGTTGCACGAGAGATCTACACAATGGGCACAGAGAACATCCCAATAAAAAGTACACTAGCGTACTCAGAGAATGCAGGAAGAGACATACATATACATATATACGCGTATGTATGTGTACAGATAATAGATAGATAAATAAATACATAGATAGATAAATAGATAGACACATGTGGAGAGAAAAAGATTTATATATATATATATATATATATATGTAAGTGTGTATAAGTGAAGGTAGAAATAGTACTAGATCTGGTGTGATGGCATAGAATGTGTGTAAATGTGCGGCTGTGTGTTGCACGGCCACGCAACAGGTTGACAAAGGGCTCTAACACACAGGCTATTGTTCTCTCTCTACCGCAACATTTACTCGATTGCACGTCGACCTGCTAGTAAAATATCGCGGATTATCTGCTTCCCTTCGACGAAAAGCCCTGCGAGTTATATCTGCGATCAGAGAAAGAATGGAAGAAAGAAAGAAGGGGGGAAAAAAACGAGTACAAGAAAGAATGAGCGAGAAGAGTCGCGTGTTGCTTGATACGCATATTACCACGAGCTAGGTAAAATCACGGTTGCGTTTGTGTTCGTCTGCCTCTGTGTATGCGTGTTTGCACGTGTGTGAAAAGAACTGTGTTTCCGTGTTCTCTGGACAGGATGATCGTTCGTCGGCTGTCGGAAGCACACTTACGTTCAACTGCCATCTGACTCGTTCTTCTTCGACTCCCCCTACGCGTTTCTTTTTTACTTTTTTGGTTCCCCTCCCCCGTTCCTTTTTCACTCGAGTGTCTGTGGAGTGCGACGACTCGGATCGTGGTTCGGTGCAAGGTGTCGGTGCGAGAAGCTGATCTAACAAACAAGTCGACAGAGGCTCCGGCACAAAAGTACAAAAGGCACGAACTCAGCGAGACGGATCAGCGTTGGAAAGAATGATTCACACGAGGGATACGAGGAATGCCTTGTATCCCCTCGACTCGTCAGCGAGACCACCGCAGACAGAGAGCGATAGAGAGATGCAGCGTGGAGCGGATTTAAAAGAAACGGTGTTGGTCACTGATTGCGAGAGGCGCTGGCGTGTCGCGAGTGAAAACGCGGCAAAGAAGTTCGCGCGTCTCTGTGTGTAATCTGTGACGATGAACAGTGTGACGAGAGAAAGGAGGAACGCGTGGAGAAAACCGGCGTTCTATTTCCCCGATGCGGGGAGAACCGTTGTTCTGTAGGCAAAATGTAGGCACACAGGAATCTGAGAGACAGTCTCGTCGCCATCCTCCGTGTATTGTTCCGAGAAATGTATCAGAGAAAATTAAAGAAGTGGAGGGGAGGGGGAAAAAGTAGGGACAGAAAGACGAGGGATGACAGGAAGATTAGGGATTCGAGTAGCGTATCAACGAAAATAGAAAACCGAGAATAGAGAGAAATCGGAGTAGATAACAGTGAGAAGATGGGCTGCAGTTTAGTATCGACCAAGGAATGTGGTACATCGATGGAAAACTAGAGAAATTCATCGTTGGTCGTCCGAGGTCGTCTTCACCATTAAACGAAAGACACCTCCGACACTCGTTGACGGACGATGAATCGTTTCTTTGGCGATGATGTACCGCACACTCGGATGAACTAAGTTGTCTTACTAAACTTCTGCCAAAGGATGTTACGTACAAACAATGAGAACAGCACAAAGACAATGACAACAATCACGGCAATGGTAACGACAACGACAACAACGACAGCGATAACGATAGCAACGAAGACACGAAGAAAGCGTTGTTTAGTTGTACAATATAATCGAGCGGACAAAAGTAGGCAAACGGAGAAGAACACAGGCCTTTTTTTTTTGTTTTTTGTTTTTTTTTTTTGGCAGAGAGCATGCTACTTACTAGGTTGGACGGCAGTAGCGGCTTGGTTTGACGCGTATCGACTATCGGAGGATGATTTGGATGGATCGGCGACGGCGGCTGCGGCCGCAGCCGCAGCTGTCTGGTCGCGGCCGGTTTTTGCCTGAGCCTCGTTCGGACCTTGGTGGGACCGGCTTATATCTTTAACACGGTCCGGCCTGGCCGCAGCAGCAGCGCTCGACGTAGGTGGGTGATGGACACTCGTATGAACCGAATGCTTTACAGGGGGTTTTACGCTTGTACTTGTCGTGTTTATAGTGGTAGTGGTGGCTGTAGTAATGGTGGTTGTGGTAGTGGTGGTAATTGTGGTGGTAGTTGTGGCGGTGGTTGAGGGTTTCACGTGATGAAGGGGGCGATAGGGGGGAGCGGTGGTTGCGAGGAAGGCTAGAACATACGGTACACAAAGTACAATGATGAATAAAGCCCATCGTCCTTATTGAGGAAGTTTACGCGTTTAAGACAGCTTTCACTGATGCATCGCCATGCTTAAAATGTAACAAGATGCGTAAATGCGGAGTAAAGTAGAGTCCAAGACGTCAAGCTCGGATGGAAACATATCAAGAGAGAATGTTTTTCTACGGTTCTAGAGCGCGTGTTCAATGCTTTTGCTTTTGAGATCGACGCAACGACGCATTCGCGTTACGTTTGGTCCTTTTTGCGATGCAAAGTTTTTCAGCGAATCACTCGAACGTTTAATCTGAACCGCGTTTCGCAGTCCGTTTGCATTCGTGTACAAAGAGATCGCGTTCCCACGTAATTATTACACATTTTAAGCAAGGCTGCGCCGTTTCGTTGAGATTCATTCTTATTGGAGTGGTTATCGAGGGCTGAAGGGTCTCTCGGTGCTATCGAACCTCGATGCTCAGAATTACGCTCAGAATCCGCACTCGAATATCAGAGTTTTCTCTTATACGTAGTTGCGTTACACGCAACGACAGACAAGAAAATTTCACGTAGTTGCCGTGTGTATACATCGAGAATTGTATCGAGAATCGTTATAAAACTGACCGAGATAGAACGACGGAAAGTGTCGAAGGATATTCGAGCGTGGACGAATCTTGAACAGTTGGAACAACGAGAGAGTTAGAGACAGACAGAAAGAAAGAGATTAAAAAATAAAAGAAGTGAACAAGCTTCGATTGGTATTGCTGCAGCATTCGCGACCCGAGAAAATCACTTAAACCGGGGAGAAAAGTGTACAACCGCAAATTGGACCACACAGAGCTTCCCAGCTTATTATTAACCAGCGGTAATCATTCAAAAAAATCCTGACATTCGTTTCTCAATCGAATTTCTCAATCGAGTTTCTATTATACATCGTGGTTGGGACCAACGCGATTCGATACGCGGTTCAACCCTTTAACAGTTTAATCGAAAGAGTAAAGTGTTCAACGACAAACGGAGAAACAGATAAACAAACAAATTGCACGTATCGTGTTACGTTCTATTCCTATAACAGATGATAGACTCTAAACTGTTCAAGGGTCAAAGGCAGAGAGAAGAGGTTTAAGGGGGTGAAGGTGGGGGTGGGGGGGTTAGAACGGTGACCGGGTGGTAACTGGTGCAGGATGAAAGGTTTTAGAGAATATCTGAAAATACGTGAAAGTCGGGCTAGCGGGCAGCAGGTACGTGGGTACAGAGAACGTACATTTCCGATGGACCTGCGGGGACCTCCTGTAGAACGGAGTAGGCCCTGGGCCCGAGGGTGGTGGTGGTAATGGCGGCACGCTGGTTGACGAACCCGTCGAGGAAACCGTCGACGGTTCCCGTATGCTCCAACGTACGCGGCCAGGGCCAGTGACTGAAACACCCGCTACCACTCCTGATCAATCCGATCACGATGCTCGGACGATCGTCGATCTGATCGTGATCGATTTCGCGCGAGCAACTCATGTCAGCAATTAGCCTGAATTAGTGACTGAATGGTTGTTTGACAGAGAAAGAGAGGCAAAGTTGCGACAAAGGAAAAACAAAAAAGAGAAGAGAAAAAGAAAAGAAAAGATGTCGAGAGGGAGGGGGGAGGGGGACAGGAGGAGGGGGTGAGAGGCCGGATGAACGCGGATGCAAGGGACGTCTTTCGTTTTGTCAAAAAAATTTATTCTACCTCTATCGGTGCGTCCAGTGATCTCGATCAAGAAGAATATATCTGTTTTTCTTTTTTCCCTTTTCTTTTTTCTTTTTTTTTTTTGCCTCGAGACCACGATATCAATGGATTGAAATGATGTAGTGATGTATGTAGTTGGAGCAAAGCGACTACGACTGACATACGAATGCTTGTTGCTCACCGCCTCGGCGCTAGATGGTTCAATGGATGAGTCGATATTTACGATGACTATTTGGCTGACTACGCTTGACGATGACGAAGAACGACGGTAGATCGAAGAGGTGGTGAGACCAGTGATGATTACGTTAGTGAACGAGAGACGTAGGATGAAAAGTCACGGTGCTAGGGGTGCAGATATATGAAACAACAATTATTGATACGTGGCGAGGATTATCTATCTATCGATGGATCGTTGGATCAAGCGCGTCAAATATGTATCATTCGAATAAAAAAAGAACACCTTCGTCAAGACGATTTTCATTTACTCGATCGATATTGTATCAGTCTGCTCGACATATTCGGACATATTAATACAACTGGGAATAGGTGAACGAGTTGGTTAAGGCTATCTCGCGGTTTACGAAGGCTGTTCGGGAGAGATAGGGGGTAAACAACATGTCACAAAACTTTCTGCACGGATAATCAATAAAAGGGCTACTGGTTACTAGAGATGTGGTTACTCAAAGGCAGAGACAAAGAGATAGTAACGATTAAACAGGAGTATCATGCATTTGCCTAAAACATTAACGACCATTTGGCAGTTAACGTGTTCGACACACACCGCTTAAAGAATTCGCTTGAACAGAAAGAAGAAACGCGTTACGGAGGTCGATCTACGACGAATCTTTCATGTACATTTTAATGAAGTAACCACTGTCACAGAGAAAGAAAGATGCAAGCGTAGCGATACTTTTTACTCGTTAGAAGCGGTGAATGTCTCTTGCAACACGATTCGAACAGGGCAAAAAAATACGGTCAGGTATGACGAACGGTTTGGCTTTTTGGGACCCACAAGAGCAAACAGCAAACCAAACTCGCATAATATGTATAAATATATATATATAGAGAGAGAGAGACTTCTATCCAATCAAATTCAATGGTATATGCACGAAAATGCAAAAAACGGAACTCGTCAAACGCCAGATTACGAGCGCCAATCGATTTGGATACGATCTCTTGGATACTAAATCGATCGACTTTTCTATCGATACAAAAAAAAAAAGAAAAAAAAAGAAAAAAAAGATAGAGATGACGAAGAATGTATCGATGCTCGTTCGGGTTACTTACTCGGTCGTGGATGCCTTTCAGGCTCACTGCCCTTCTCACTTTGCTCTTTCTCCTTGTCCTTCGGCTCCTTCTCTTTCTCCTAAACAAAGGGAACTCGATCGATAACGTTGTATCAGACGAAATTAACCTTCGAATTATTTCAAGCTTACGCACGATCGAGTCTCAAGTGTTAATTAAATCTTAAAACAAAAAAAAAAAAAAAAAAAAAAAAAAAAAAGAAAAAAAAAAACAGAAAAAAAAAAGAAAAGAAAAGCCAGTGGAAATGCGCCTTAACGTCCGCCCAAGGTATTACGTTTCCCCGCGGGACAAAGGCAGCAAGACTGAAATTAAAATATTGAATTTCCACTCTATTTACTCGGCGAACCAGCAACTCGGCAGCGTCCTCGGAATCGGAAACACACCGTCGGCAGGAGGGAGGGGGGTTGGACGGTTGGAAACCACCCCCGTGGCAGGCGGTTGACGCGATATCTCAAGTTTCCATTCTGCTACCCCTGGATTTTCTCTTGATTTTATTAAGTTCCCTTCGTTTCACAGCACTTCCCTTGTACTCCTTATCTTGCTCGACCTCCGCCGCTGTGCGAACGGGGGGAGGATGAACTCACCCCCTCCTCTCGCGGCTCTCTTGCCTATCATTCGCCGCCACACACCCACCTCCTCATCCGCCCGTTTTACGTTTAATTTCCTGACACTCGTTCGTGGAGGCGACTCGACCGAGGCGAACGCGATCTTCTTGAATTTTGCTTGACGTTCCCTTAACGAGTTCGAACATTTCATCGGCCGCGCGCCGTTGCGTTTCGCTTATTGCATTCTGCTTTTAATCAGGGGTCAGACGGTGGGGGAGGGCAGCCTCGTTGCTGCAAGTTGTCAACTGGTTAATTGTTAATTAGCGAGTATCTTTCTCTCTCTCTCTCTCTCTTCGGTCGGCGGGGGGAAATTCTGTTCAGCCGCGAGAAAATTATAACTGATCACGGGTATCTCGTCGCGGAAAATCGATAGCGACGGTGGAGCGTTAAATAATTCGAAACCGAGGCTGCTGTTTTCTGGTGCAACGACGAGAACGAATATGCGTCTTCTCTCTGTTGATCGGTTTTTTTTTTTTCTTCTCTTTTTCGTTCGTGTCAAGGGATCGGACGATAATTTTAACGCGAGGAGACTAAGAAAGGGAAATAATAGTTATAGGAAATAGAAGGGAAATAATAATTTAGCATGGAAAATGTAAGGTAAGTTGGTGGAGTTTATTTTTGGTAAATTGTACTTCAATTCTTTTGTGCAGAGATCTGCGGATTTTTCAATTTGTAACTGAACAATAATTTTTAATACGAGGAGGCACTAGAATGAATTTGACAGCTTCAAAAAATGTATACTATCTTTCGAATGAGCCAATAAATTTTTATAAAATTCGGAGACATATTTATTTTGTCGGAGACTATGTCTCAATTCTTTTGTTAAAAAGTAGATTTTTCACTTTGTAACTGAACGATAATTTTCATACAAGGAGGCTAGAAATGATGAATAATTTAATAATTTAACTGGTTCGAAAAATGTAGAACTTTCGAATAAGTTGATAAAGTTTCATAAGACCCAGAAATATAATTATTTTGACAAGCCACATTAATTCTTCAAGTCATTTTAATTCTTCAGTTCTTTTGAACAATAATAATTTCAATATAACATCATTGGAAACAAAAATAATTTGACAGATTCAGAAATGTTGATCCTTTTAGAGATAGCTGACAAGATTGATAAAGTTTTAGAAAAATCGCGAATTTCATAAAATTCATATTTTACAAAAGTCAGAAATGTATGATATTTCGACAAGCTATATTTTGATCTTTCTGTAGCAAAGAAAAAAGATCGTGATGAGAATATTTCCGTCGATTTTCCAATTTCAGAAGATTGAACGATAATTTTAATGATTAAGAAAGAAAATAATTTGAGTAGATTTAAAAAAAAAAAGCCTGTAAATCGATAAATTTTTATGGAAGTCAAACGTGCAATTGTTTAGACAAATCATATTTTAATATTGCAATGAAAATTTACAACGCAAAAGACTCGAAAGAGAAAGCTATGAAACCATTTACGATGAAGATGCAATCAATTAAGACTTTTCTAGCAACGAAAAGAAGATCCTTTTTATGGTATCCTATTCATAATTTTATTTATGGGAAGTCAATCATTCACTAAATTAGCTAAGAAAGCCTGCTAGATTGAAAGAGGCCTTTCGAAAATGATTGATAACTCGATCAAGTTCCACAGAAATCGTAGACTGTAATTATTTAAACAAGCCAAATTTATAATATATTAATATTAAAAAAATAAACATTCCATATACTCTTCAGACGGTTTACTGAACGATTAATCCTGCATACATAAATGAAATTCCAGAAATTAAAATATGTGTAATTCTTTGTTATTTATAATATTAATAATTATATATATATATATATATATATATCAGTATGTTAATATTATAAATAACAATATTAATAATATTATAAATAACAATAATATTATATTAAATAATATATTATATTATTTACAATAATATAATATAAATTTAATATAATACATTACAATAATAATATATTAAAATAAAAATATTATAAATAACAATAATATTATAAATAACAAAGAATTACTTTAATTTCTGGAATTTCATTTACGTATACAAGATTAATCGTTCAGTAAACCGACTGAAGAGTATCACAGAAACAAAGGAAATGAAAGTCTGAGCTAAATCTCACGAAAAGTCTGCAATTTTCTCGCAACGAAGTGACGAGATTCTTTTCGCAGAACGAAATGGAATCGCGAGGGAGAAGGAGAGAGAGATCGCGCAATAAAATTCTACCCGCGTGAAATTTCTCGTTTGCAGAAGGTTAATCACGAAATTAACTGCAGTAATCACGAAGGAAACTGCAGTTAACAGGGCAGCCTGCTGATTAAGAGCAGAATGCAATTAGCATTTCCCACTGTACACATCCCCCTTTGATAGCAATTTCTACACAAATATTGTGTAGCGCACAGCTATGTAACTATGTACTGCGTCACTTTACATAATATATATATAAATAGGTAATGCCTCTCATCGACACTAACTTACGTTTCCAAAGTAACGGTCACGAGTTAATTGCAACGATTGAACATCATCAGCAGTAGGACAAATATTGCCCTAGTTTAGGTTAGGTTCCTAGGATATCGAGCTCGTGAATTCGTGCCGAAAACATTCGTCAAACGGTGTATTGTCCGCGTGGTTTGACTCGAGGCCTGACCGGTACCGTCACTGAATACAAATCGCATTATCGCCGACGAAAACCGATTACAAAGGTGTTTTATGTTGCCGCGAAAGGCTCGCGACAGGGCATTGTGTGTTGCCCTTCTGCTGCAGCATTCAGTTCCTCCTCGGCTTAATCCTCTTACATATATAATGAAAAGGAAGCAACGAAACGGAGAAAGCCACAGGCGTTACTCACGATTTATTTCGTATTCACTCGCACTGGCAGCTCGAGTGCTCGAGAGACCCTGCCATAGTTTCCCATTGATTTACGCGTCGTCGTCGTCGTCGTTGTTCGACGATATAATTGGAAATTTTTAGATACAAGAACTAGATTAAAAGCATCGGGAACGTAATTGATAACTAAATTGTTTCGAAATGTAAGGAAGTCTGATTTCAAATTCTGTGTTCATTGTCAGCTCTTTCATTCGTATAGAAAAGATGAGAATGGCATGCAGTAATCCTCGCTTAATTGTCCATAATTTCACCCTTTAACCTCTTGCGCTAGTAACTTGCTCTAGTATGGTTCGCGGACCATAACGAGTGACCAAACCATTATACGAGAATCCGTTTTCTTTTTTGAATTCATCGGTATACCACTGGATAAAAATTACTGGAGAAGTAATAAATTTATTATTTGTTTTGTCAGTATACTTGAAATCGAGAAAATATTGCAATTTTGGGCCAAATATTCTCGTGGCACACAAGAGAGCGCCTGTGACTATCCCCACCAATTCTTGGAATTGGGACTCATCCCCACTCTACGCTGTCTTACCACGTGACTCATCCCCACTCTACGCTGTTTAACCACGTGACTCATCCCCACTCTACGCTGTCTTACCATGTGACTCATCCCCACTCTCTTTCCTTCGGCGCCAATTCTCTCCACTTAAATGTCCGTTTTCGGTCCCAATTGCGGATGCTTGTGAAGACTACTGTAATTTCTTTTATTATTCCAAAAATTTCCTACATTAAATGGATAATTAGCTGTACTATTCTCGTATAAATAAAGAACCTTTATTTCATCACCAGTCATTTGATCGATTATGGTAGGAGTATAATATGCATAAAATGTTGATACGTTTAGTGTTAAATAAGGTCGTGTTGCGTAAGTTTCTAGGAACGTTGTCAATTTAAAACTTGTTTTAACTCTTTCACGAGAAGGAAATTTTTTCTTGTAATTATTTTGAATTAATTCATTGTTTCTTTTATTTCGGATTCATCTCCTGGAAAATTGACTCGGGATCAACAAGATTTGTATTTTGAAACAAATTGCTTTTACAAATATATATTTGGACTTTGGTTCGTTAACAGAAATATTAATATAAATAAACAAATGAAAGTATCTATCTAGAACAACCGTATCAAAATACTCTACGTACGAGTCATTACAATTTAAATGATAATTATACTAAGTAGATTTATATAGTTGTGTCTCTGTCCAGACAGAAATTAAATTTAATCTTTTAAACATTTGTGAAAAAACGAAACATCTGAAAGTTAAATCAGTATTAAAATAATGAAATTGTTTTCACAGTTATTTATAAAAACTTCTATAGCACACATAGTTCTAATAACACATTTCTTGGCAACTGTCCATTTCAAATATCCAGCCAAGAGAGTAGTAACTCTTTCCATTTGACTTTTAACTTTTTTCCACGAAAAACTAAAAAAAAAAATAAATTATTATTTCAAAATCAACATTTATCATCACTGTAAAAATTTCACGAACGCGTGCAATTAAAGTTCACAACATGGTGAATCGAAACGAAGCGAATAGAAATGCTCATTTTCAAGGTTTAAAGGCAGCTCGGCGATTAACCTGCCCTACCTTATCAGGATTAACTTGCAAAGTTAATTTGCAAAGTCTTTAACTTTATGTAACCGTCACTTCTTCTCGCGTTTGCTAGCGGCAGTCACGAACGAAAAAGGCTATATTGCTGATTGTTCCTCTTTCAGGAGATTTGTACAACGTTCTCCGAGTATTTGCTATGCGTAGTTTGTCCGAGCGTGTGGCTGTTATGTTTCTGTAATCAAGCGACGCTGTTTTCGGAGAGCTCGTAACAGAGCGGCGCGAGGAAAAGAATCTAGTTATAGAAACTCGTGAAAATTTGTTTGCTGTACAACTATGTTCTGCGTGGCGTAACATTGCGAAAGTATTCAAATTCTTTTGATTCGTTTTTAGTAGTTAACGTTTGAACTTTTGTAGCGTCTAATATATTGGGCAGTAATACATGAAATGTCCAATTTTTGAATGATAATTAGAAACGAAGACATTTTTAATATTTATTTTTAATATTTATAACATTTTTAATATTAAATTTTTATTTTTAATATTTAATATTAATATTTGTTTTCAATATTTATAACATTTTTAATATTAAATTTTTATTTTTAATATTTAATATTAATATTTGTTTTTAATATTTATAACATTTTTAATATTAAATTTTTATTTTTAATATTTAATATTAATATTTATTTTTAATATTTATAACATTTTTAATATTAAATTTTTATTTTTAATATTTAATATTAATATTTATAACATTTTTTAATATTAAATTTTACTGTTACTGCGATCTACACATTTTTTTTCAATTAACTGCAAGTTTCTTAATTCATCAACAATGCAGAATAAAACAAATTTTGCGGTAGATTCTTTGCATACATATTTCCACCAAATCGATGGTGTAGAATTCATCTATGACAGCCAGGGACAACTGTACATACACCTTCCTAATTGATTCCTCGTTTTCGTTTTCGTAGCCCTCAAAGCGAAACGACGGACGTTTCTCGATAGTGCAAACAACTCGATGCAGCAGATTCTCTCGGCGCTAGTGTCCCGCTGGTAGATACCTAATTGCACGCCTGCCTTCCCTCTCTCTCTCTCTCTCTCTCTCTCTCTCTCTCTCTCTCTCTCTCTCTCTCTCTCTCTCTCTTTGTATTTCTCGCTATCGTAATTTGTACGCTCAATTATTTCCATTGTTCCCGCGATCGGGCGCGAACACAATCGATATACAATGGGCGGTTCTCGTTTGTTTGCCAACGTATGGCCGGCCACAAAGCGCGTGCACCAGGAGACGTTTACGTGGCTAGAATCAGCGCTGAAATCGGCAGCATAGATCACCACCTCCATGGACCGGCGTTCACGAGCAAATATTATAGAAACACAGAGTATTAATCATTTCCAGCCAGGCGATATGATAATTTCACTTGAAGTTTTAATATTTTTAATTAAATTGTTAATAATAATAATAATGAGAAGAAGAAGAATAACAATGATCGAAGATTTTAAATTAATCAGTTTAATTTCTTATCAGGTGAATTTTTCAAATTTTTTTACTTTTTTATATCCTTTATATTTTATATTTATTATTAGTTTTATTAACTGATTTAAATCGAATTCCTTTTGATTTAATCGAAGGTGAATCAGAATTTCAGGATTTAATTTAGAATATTGTAGACGATTATTTATTTACATTTTTTCCATCGGAATATATAAATTCGTTATTTATAAGAATGATTTTGGTAATAATTTTTTTTTCTTTTAATTGAAATATTTAATTTAATTTATTAAATAGAATTAATATAATATTAGTTAGTTATAATTCGAGGTGTTTCAGCTCGAATTCGATGTGATTATTTCATATATGTATGTTGAATAGAATTATTAATTTTAATATTATTAATTATCAGTTTAATATTTTATATATTACAACAATATAATAAAAATATAAGTCACATAATATTAAATTATTCTTAAAAAAAAAGAGAAATAAAGTTCATTTTAAAATTTCCTCGACCTGCAAGCAAATGATTTGCAGCATGCACTCTTTTCGAACCAAATGACTTTTACGAAAAAATTTTTTAATCCTTCGTCTTTGGCCAATAATAAAATATCAGTAAATAAATTCTTAGTAACACGTGGTCTGTGTAACAATGACACTTGACTTTCAATCAAATATTTAACGTTCAAATGATCTTGCGCAACATTCATCGTCTGATTAGACTCGTCGGGTATCGAAAGCTTGCCAGGCATTCCGGATTCGTGCCGGTGGTTTTGACGAAGCTTTTGATAAGCTTTTCGATAGTTCAATTGTTCGAGCTATTCAACGATCCGACGGATCTCTCTCATCGGCTGATCGCGGAGATTGCCTTTGGAATTTTCTAATAAACGTTTCATTAAAGTTATTCCGCAATTCGCCCGGTGTAATTAATTTTAAGATTAATTTCAATCCGGTTGATTATCCCCTGCCGGTGAATTATCGTTATCAATTTTCCCCGTGAATATCATTGGCCGATAAATCGCTCGCCCCGAGATATTAATTTTCGCGAGAGGAGCCATCGCTTTTTCGCAATTTTTCTGTCGAATTAAATTGCCGTATATTTTTTTTCTCTTATTGTTGCCAGTATATCGTAGCACAGAATATAGTATAGCTGTCGAGGGATCTGTTCAACGCCGAAAATTTTCGTGAATCGTATCGATCGATAATCGAACGGCGGATCTTCTTGCGAAACAATTCGAATAATTTGTCGTGGAGAGGAAATTTGATTTCAATGCGAGCAATTTTGTAAGAAATTCGAAAACTGGACGGACAAGAAATTCATCATAATTGTAAAATGTTATATTTACTATTTAATAATTCAGTTATATTTATTATATTTACTATAATAATAATATCATATTTACTATTTAATAATTCAATTATATTTATTATATTTACTATAATAATAATAATAATATCATATTTTCTATTTGATAATTCAATTATATTTATTATATTTGCTATAATAATAATAATAATATCATATTTACTATTTAATGATTCAATTATATTTATTATATTTAGTATAATAATAATAACAATATCATATTTACTATTTAATAATTCAATTATATTTATTATATTTGCTATAATAATAATAATAATATCATATTTACTATTTAATAATTCAATTATATTTATTATATTTGCTATAATAATAATAATAATAATAATAATAATATCATATTTACTATTTAATAATTCAGTTATATTTATTATATTTACTATAATAATAATAACAACAATATATCATATTTACTATTTAATAATTCTATGTCGTACATCACTTGTATATATTTTTATTTAACTATTTTTTTTATACTGTTTTATTTAATTACGTTCAACTCACGATACGTAGAAACCTTTCAAATCAACCAAATCAACAACCTCAACGTGGCAGAGTAGCTACACATCTTCACACCAAAATCACTCGACAATTTTCTGGGGAGAATCGAAATCCTTTCCGAGGCGATTCCTTTTCTCTCTTTCTCTCTCTCTCTCTCTCTCTCTCTCTCTTTCTCTCTCTCTCGTGATACCTATATATTCCGCGGCTCTTGATACTTGCCGCTTCTTTGGCAAGTTGAAGAGAAGATGGAGGGAAAGCGGCAACCCGGAAACGTAATAAAGGCGCGATGCTCGCCTCGCAGCCGCAATCTCTCTCTCTCCTCCTCGGCCTAAGTAAATACTTGCCGATCCTTGCGGATTGCTAGCCGCGGCTGCGTCGTCTTGTCGGCTGCCACGCCACGTTTTGCATGTATCCGCCGGCAAATTAAGGCTCCCGCTGTTTACCGAACCTTCAACCGGCTGATACCGGCCCTCTCGGTCGGCCAGTCGATGCTCTCCTGCGTTTCGGAGACGAGTTTACGAGGAAGTAGAGGTCAGAGAGAGATAGAGAGAGATAGAGAGAGATAGAGAGAGAGAAAGAGAGAGAGGGAGGGAGCTATTTTCGAGAGTTCATTGGCCATCACACGTAATAAAATATGATGGTTAGTTTCGCTTTCAGTCTCGCAAAATTGCGCACACT